TTCTTCTTCTTCTTCTTCTTCTTCTTCTTCTTCTTCTTCTTTTCTGGTTAAATTGACCAGAATTATAATGAGGGTTTGGAAATCATGCTCTGGACAGAAAATCAGGTCATCAGTTTAGCCAAAAAGCGATATGGAGTCATGGTGGAGAAAGAGATTTCTTAAGGAACTTCATTTCCAGCTAGTTTATATGCGCAACTCAACTAGCTGAAGACTGCCCTGCACAAGAGGCCAAAAGCCAAATGGAGGATTTAAGTTGAAAACCTGTCCATGGAAAACCTATCCTGTTTACCTCTTGAAATGACTTTTAAATTTTGACATTGTGGCTTTTAAGAGGTTTCACTTTTGTGAGGTGTCTGAAAGTGGGATGGATCAAAAAGCGGAATATAAACTTTTAAAAGAAAAATTAATTCAATGGATTGTTCAATGCAGACCTTTAGATCCCATTTCTCCACCTGCCTAAACCAGGCATAAAGGTCTCCTATTCAAACAGTGGGGTGGTCTGGAAGACCTTCAAGGGACCCTCCAACTCTTATTCTATGTTCTACTTGACAGTAGGAAAAAATTACTTTGCTCCCAGTTCAATTGGAAGTAGGATAAATGAATCAAGGAGAGGAGCAACCTAGAAATAAGGAGAAATTTCCTGGCATGATATTGGAGTCTCCTGCTTGTGCAAGGGGCTGGACTAGAAGACCTCCAAGGTCCCACCCAACTCTGCTATTCTGCTATTCTGCAAACTTTTGCTGCAATGAAAGGAAGTGAACTGGACAGCACTCTTTGGCTGAAACAGAGGAAGATGGTTGGGGCTTAAGCAGCAAATTTGTCCCCATGTCGGACAACCTAATTATACAGATCCTTCTTTCCATCATTCACCTGTTTTGGATTTTTGTGCCCCATTCAAGGAGTTTAACGATGGCAAAAGAACTGTTGTCCAGAAGCTCCTGGTCCAGATACCACATCAAAGTCTGCAGAGCAAGCACAAAGAATAATCAACAATGCAATATTTGAAGGTCAGTTACTCGCTCTTGTTTTGGACAAATTCATAGCAAGCAAGACCGCCAAGCATTCTTTCTGCTGTCTATTCAAGATATTTATCTGCTACTTGAAACTGAATTTGATGCATGATCTTTCCTGGTCACTGGCAACATCTGGAATTTTGTGTCACGAAGAAGGTGACATCTGATGAATTAGTTGTCCTTCTAGAATTAATACCTTCATAGTCAGGGCTATGTGTTATTCTCCAATTCCTTCTTCTGTATTAAGTACTGTGGAATGGCTTGCTGGAATAAGAGTTGGAAACTTGGCCCTTCTCATATATTAAAACTGCTACATTATATTTCAAAGAATGTGCCATTAGCTTCTTAATCCTTTGAATGGCACTCCTTTTTTGTTATCTTGCATTCTTATTGGAAAGCATTTTTTCTGTATTTTGGGATTTTTGCTAGTAAATGCACACCCTCACACTGAGACAAAAGGGACAACTTGAGAGTAAGGCTTGGAGGTGATTGCCCCTCCCATAGGGTATAAAGGAAGTGCAAAGGTAGGAAAACCTTTGCAGGAAGCAACGTCGTTCTCTCTGATCAGTTTGGACTCTGAAAGCTCCATGGTGTATTTGTTCTCTGTTAGGTTTTGGAAAGACTAATTGGGACTTTAGTCATTGACAGCATTTCAAGTAAGATGAGGTACATTCTTATCAGATGTCTCTCAAAGAACTTTGGCAAACCTCCCTGGGACTAATTATAACCGGTTAAGACTCATTCTGGGCTGTGAATGACGATAATTCATAGCCATTGAACTAGAATAAAAGAGTTTTGGATTTTATGTGTGTTTGTTGATGTCTCAGGAAGCCTTGGCTAGAACAAATATAACTCCTTCCCCTTTCTAAGTTCTTATTAAGGGACTTTTTTTTTTTTCAAAAATAAGGAAATTAGAAGGGAACTAAGTCAAAAACTGATTTAGCATTAAGGATTAAGGAGGATTAAGGAGTCTGGGGAAAAATATAGACTTCATTGATCCTAGCTCCACTTTATGGTATATCCAGACAGCCTTCTAAACAACAGTAAGAAAGATGGTTTGCTAGATTCCATTTTTTTTCCCAGGACATTTCTCAACTTCCTTGTCTAGTTTTACCTCATTCCAGATTGGATTCTGATCCTTCTGCACAACTCTTGTGCTCCTTTCAATGCCTAGGGGGGAAAAAGTTCCTGAGTCAATTCCAGCTGTTTCCTGATGCTTTGCCTCTCACGAGCGTAGCTCTGACAGACAGCGTGAATAGCATGGCTGATCAATCAATTTCTATGTTCTTTCAAAAGCAACCACCTCTTTTTTTCCAGGAGCGGATCATGGACCTCTGGGATACACCGATCACAATTTTGGTGGCCTCAGATAAGACTAGCATTACTAGAAATGCTGATGGGGTTCCAGTTATGCCAACCTCCAAATAGAGATGATGAGCTTACAAGCAAAATCTGGAAACGTTTATGCCTGGGGCAGAAGCAGAACACACCCAATAAAATCAGTAACAGATAGGTGTAAAATCTATGCTTAATAATACCTCTGAATTCTGTAGTGACATGATAAAGATGAGCAGTCTATGGTACTCAAACGTTCTGAATTCCTGAAGAGCACCAGACCCACATTTGAAACAAGAGTGGCTGATAGGTCATAGCCACCGGGGATCTCTGAACCCACAATTTGTGCATCAGACAACTTGCCTAATGACTCTAAACACACAATCCAAAACATCCATTCACTTGCCCCACTCCACACCAGCAATTGATGATATCTTACCCAGTGGCAGGTAAACCTTCATGGTGAAAATTGGTAAGGAAATACACTAGTCACTTTTTTAAAAGCCTGTATTAAAACAACAAAGCAGCACCAGTTGCCAACTTGAAGTTGAGTATTCCTTAACTTTAAGATGTGTTAGACTTTAGTTCCCAGAATTCCCCAGTCATGCTAGTTGAGGAATTTGGGAAGTTGAAGTGCACATATCTTAAAGTTGCTAAGGTTGAGAAACATTGCTGTAAGTCAGGGATCTCCAAAGTAGGAAGTTTTAAGACTTGTGGGCTTCAACTCCCAGAATTCCTCAGCCAGAGGAACATGGTGGCTGGGGAATTCTGGGAGTTGAAGTCCACTTGTCTTAAAGTTGCTAGGTTTGGAGACCCTTGTAGTAGTAGAATAAGGCATGACTACCTCAAGAAGTGATGGATTGCATTAATGGAGCTATCTGATATGACTTAGCTGGGGCGTATGGGAGTTGTAATCTAATACATCCAAAAACAGCCATGTGGGAAAGACCGTATTCCTTCATTTGATCTAATGATCTTTACTCCTGCTTATAGTAAATGTTCTCACTACTTGATAGAGTAGTAACTGTGGGATATTCTACAAATAGTGCAGATTTGAACGATGGACTACTGAGACAAAAAAAAAAGAATTCTACAGAAAATGACCATATTTTCTTGAAAAAAATAAAGGACAAACCTGAAAAAAAGGGAACAAATCTGAAAGATGATCATAAGGATTAAAAAAAAATGATGTTTGTAACTTTGCTTTACGAAGGGAAATTCAAGTGCAAAACCAAGAAAATAAATACATAAATAAGTTAAATAAATATAAAAGACAGCTTTCTGAAAGAAAGGATGTTCCTTTGCAGGAAAGGACATATGATCACTGCAGTGATACAATTAGTGCAAATTTGGCAAAATGTAAATAGGGTCTGTATTTGCGTACTTCCCCTGCTGTCCTGGAAGCAGGAAATGGCTATTTTCTGAAATTTTATCCTCCCTGGCATTTCCCCAATTTGCATTCATAATCAGATAGAATTTTTTTTTTTAGTGAAAATACAAGCAGATTGGCTTTGTAAGTTCCCCTAAAGTAAGATGTGGACATAAGAGGAATTTATTTTAATATGTAAAAACAAATGGGATTCAGATACGGCTTTACCTCTGAAGGTACCAACCACAAATGTGTTGGGCTGAATTGCATGTTCAGGAGGCACATGAGCTGACAGAATAACAATATGCAGCATCTTTGGTTCTACTCTCTCTCTCTCTCTCTCTCTCTCTGCCCAGTGGCCTGTGATTACTGAAGACCTCGCATCAGCTCTAGGTCTTCATTCCAGGATCCACTTGAAATCTTTTTCAGAAGGCCCAGTGCAAACGATTCTGGAAGTGGAACTAAAGAAATCCGATGTCACAAAGCATGAAGGAAGGCTATGTCGTGAAGCAAGGCAAGAGATGTGAAGTTATGACAAGTTTAGGATGTGAAAAGTCAGCCCAGGTGCTTCCTACTGGCTAATCAACGGGGTTGTAAAATATGATTTAGAACAGTGGTCGCCAACCAGTGGCCCAGGGACCACTGGTGGTCCATGAGAAAATTTTGGTGGTCCACAGAGGAATGTCACCCCAAAGCAATTAATCCAGGCTGCGCAGGAACACAAGGCTGCGCTGCCCACATGGCCCGCAGGAACACAAGGCTTGCGTCGCTTGCATTGCGAACAACATGAGGTATTGAGGGGAGGGGGGAAAGGGCGGAAGGGGCCCCCACTCACCCCATGTGCCTGGCCTGGCCACCAGACTGCTTCTTTCAGCTTCTTTCTTCTGCTGCTTTTGGCTGCATGCAAGGAAAGCAGCAAAAGTCTTTCTTTCTCTCCCCCAGACTCTGCCAGAAATGAATCTTTGAGACCCTGCAAGGCCTCCTGCTCAAAGAGGCTTGACAAAGACTCGTTTCTGGTGGAGTTTGGGGGAGAGAAAGAAAGACTTCTGCTGTTTCTGCTGCTTTCCTTGCACGAAGCCAAAAGTCTCTCTCTCTCTCCCCCTGAGAACGGAGCTGGAGACGATATTCTGTGATCCCAAATAAAGAATGATCGATCGGTAGGAAAACAGGGTGGGAAATTTTCCTGCAGACTTTTGGGGGGATTTTCCCAGGGTCTGCGGGATTTAAAATTATGAGTTTGGTGGTCCCTGAGGTCCAAAAGGATGGTGACCCCAGTTTAGAACTTAGAATAACAGAGTCAGAAGGGAGGTCTTCTACTCCAACCCACTGCTCAAGCCAGAGACCTTATCCCATTTCAGACAAATGGCTGTCCAGTCTCTTCTTAAAAGCCTCCAGGAATACCTACCTTCTGCAAGAGCTTGAAGACCTGGATTTGCTGCTTGGCCTGGACACCCAATGGTGACGTTCTACACTGTGACTCAGAGGTGGTATTCAGCAGGTTCTGACTGGTTCTGGGTTCTGCCCCTTGGTCCCTGAGTTCTTGATTTGTTTTTAACATTCCTTTGGAATCTAAAACATCATAATATTTAGTCCTACTTCCAATTTCTAATGCAGGTGTATCAATGCCTCCATGACGGATACCCACCCTGGAATTTTCATATAGTGTCTGTGCTTAATTTCTCGCCAAATTCTCATTAATGAGTTTTGTATCACATGTCTATTCAAATGAGTATAAGTCTGATTTCCTGGGTTCCACATGAAGGCATGCCACCCCACCTACAGATCATGCCCTTCTAAGGTTAATATTCTTCAGTTCCTCAAATTAAGCCAATCTTTAACCCACATTAATGCTGCAGCTTTATAATATATTTCCCATGCAGGGAGTCCAAATCCACCTCTGCTTCTATTATATTGTAACGCACTCAATTTTATCCTCACTCTTTTTCCTGCCCAATTTCGTAGTTATTTTGTTTAATTCACTAAACAAAATTTTTATCCAATTTTACAGGAATCGTTTGAAAGAGAAATAATAACCTTGAGAAGATGTTCATTTTAATAGTCGCAATTTTCCCTAACATTGATAACTGTATCTTCCCCCATTTTTCTAAATCTCTTTTTATTTCTTGTACTAACTTTATATAATTATCCTCTTTTATCGTTGAACATCTCGCTGTAAGCCAAATTCCCAAGTACTTGATTTTTTTAACAATTTGTAGGCCCATTACTTCCCTTATTTCCTTTTTTTGACTGTCTGTTAAGTTTATCGTTTTAGTTTTATCTTTATTAATTGTTAGGCTGGCCACTTCCCCATATTTCTCTATTTCTTTGATTAAATTTGGTCCTGAGTCTATTGGTTCTTCTGCAAAGAATACAAGATCACCTGCAAAGGCTTGAACCTTGTATTCCTCTTGCTTAATTTTTAATCCTTTTATCTCCCGATTTGATCTAATTCTTCTCAACAAAATTTCTAATGTCATGATAAAAAGCAGAGGTGAAAGTGGAGTACTGTTGAACTTCTTTTCCTATCTTGAATGAATTTGTTGTTTCTCCATTAATTATTATACGGGAATTCTGGTTCGAATATATTGGCCCTATCATTTTCTTCAAATCTATCCCCACATTTCATCTTCTTTATCTGTTGAATCAGAAATTGCCAGTTTACTTTGTCAAAACCTTTTTGGGCATCCAGAAAAACTAATGCAATTTGTTTTTTCTGGATTTGCCTCATAGTACTCCAATACATCTATTACCATCCTTGTATTATTTAATGCAGAGTGAAAGTGGGGTGCTTTTGTCAGAATAGCCACAGCCAGAAGAAGAACATTTGCTTTGTAAATAATCTGTGTTTGTTTTGCAGATGTGACAAAGGGAAAGTATTTCGTCAGCTTTAGAAGAACATGGCTAGAAAAAGACCAACTTATGGTGAGGTTGAAAGCCCCCTGCAGAATGTGGGAAGTCGAAACAGCCAGGTGTGCAGCTTCCTCC